ATACCTCATGCAAAATAGTAAGGCTATCCTGAGCTATTTTCTGTATTTGTGCTGCTATATGTTTGGGCTGGTGGATCACATAGGGACCACTTTCCTCATTCTGCAACATATTCTCATTATCAGTTCGTATGAAATCGTACAAAAAGTTATGCACACTATTTCGTACGTTTTGGGCGTTTTTCCTCAAAAAAACAGATCAGTGCGCATGCGCTGGCAGACAGACAAAAAAGCAGATCCGCGGACGGACGTAAAACTGGGAAAAACAGTGCAATAATTACTTCTTCATGTCTCTAACTACGTTGCTTGCTGTTTTATATCTTAAGGTTAGCTGTAGGTTCAGGGTTAGGGCTAATTGTATTTTAAATTCTATGTTCTTGAATGGTGCGTAAGATGCGCATGCGCATACGACGAAAAAAACGTCCAAAACGTACGAAATTACGGTGCATAACTTTTTGTACGATTCATACGAACTCATAATGAGAATACACTGCATTCTGCTTCATTATGTGTTTATTCTCCCATCCTGCAGAGTTTTTTTTTTAAGTTCCGCTCATTATTTTATATTCTCTCTGCTTTTTTCTCATGATAGTAGTTTCATCTGGTGTGTTCCTGTTTGGCTGTGACTCCAACCTGGATTGAAATATCAGCTGTGCTGCTGCCATCGACATCTCTGTTTATAGATGTTGGAGATTGGACCGTTTCCAGTGTCATCCTGTTTCTTTTACTGTGACTAGCAGAATTGGCTTGGAGCTTGTCTGTCTGGCTGTGTGTTTCCTGAACCGGCCACCCGTGGAGCTAGTTAACAGTTACCTTTTGTACATCTGATTCTTTTTGTATCTCTGCTTCTGTCTCCTTGCACCCCGGTCGGCCTCAGCAGATGGCCGCTTCACACTGAGCCTGGTTCTGATGGAGGTTTCTTCCTGTTAAAAGGGAGTTTTTCTCTCCACTGTTGCTATATGCATGCTTGTTGTGAGGGATTGTTCAAGACTTAACGACAAAATGCAGGCAAAAGTAGTCCCCGCAATCTCAGTCAGGAAGAGCAGGTCTTGCAAGTCAACGACTTAATGCAATCAACTAGTTTTCTTAACGAGTCTGACAGTACTGTCTATGTAAAGTGCCATGAGATGACATGTGTTGTGAATTGGCGCTATATAAAGAAACTGAATTGATTGGGATGAATTAAAGTTAGAAAACTACTAATGAAGATTTTTCATTAACAAAATTAAGGCTTTGGGTGCTTTCAGTCAGTGGTTTGTTAAAATTACTAAACTGTAGTCATAGGAGTTTATTGGAAAGACTGTGATAACATATTTTGGTTATCATCTCTAAATATACCAGCATATTTACAGAAATAGCTTATTTGCTGACATACATTTTTCATAGTGGTCTATAAGTATCTATAAAAGATACCTAACTATAAATGAAGCTGAAAGGAAACTTTTCAATTCAGTTAAAACCTAAAGTGTTTTGACAAGAATGTCTGTTAGATGTTGTTATTTATAAACCAGTAATAACTATCTTACCACTGTGTAACTGTGATATTTTTCTTCCTTAATAATTTCTTAGACTATTTCCCCTGTTAGTCTGATGCTAACACATACAACGCCATTAAAGGGCAAAAATACAGTATATCTGAGCTGCTGAGCATTTAGAGTGATGTAATACAATAATAGTTTGGGTGATATTTAAAGCCCAAAGATCAGATTTTTTTTCAAATCTGAAGATGAAAAATACACCACTAGACACCGAGCAGAGATTACGAAGTGTTTAGCTACTTTTAGCATCATAAGATTTAGAAGTTTGTCATCTACACTCACTTTTCTGCTTCTGTGTATGATCTGCTTCATATTAAAAAAAAAACTACAAAAGAAGCTGCAATAGATCCTTTTCAAAGCCACTGAGAAATTCAATTTAAAACACATTATTAATCCCAAAGGGAAATTAAATGATATGATACGAATCTTATGATATTAAATGAGAACACTTCCAAAGTGTTACAGTACGTCATTTTCATACTGAACTGATGTCTTAAAAAAGCCGAAAAAAGATCTCAAACCTTAACTGTGAGAGTTTGTTTCAGACTCAGGCTAACTTGTAGGAAACTTCCCTGAAAGCTAACTGAATTTAGACGAAGTTAAAACACCTGTTTATCACTGCCCATGAGAAAACTGGGTGATAACTATAAAGTTTACCATTTAAGCCGGGCGTATGGTAATGATTTTTTTTTTTGCCCTTTTCAGGCCTATTTTACAGTCGTGCGAGAATTTATTCGATCGGGCCGAGTTTCAGCCTGATCGTGCATCATGTAGTGTACAAGAGGTAACGAGGGGCGATCAGCCTCTCATGACCACCTCCAGATCAGGAATCGTACGGTCGGGAGAAAATCAAACATGTTTGAAATGCAGTCGGCCCTCGTGAGGTGTTTGTGAACAAATACAGCCGATGTGTGTTTTTCCATTTAGATTGTTAATATTATTGTAATGTAAACAATTTTATGGTTCAAATTTTTCATGTTTTACCATGCTTTTAAGCTCCTTAGTAGACCACAAGGGGGAAAAAAAAGAAAAAATGTAACTAAATAAATAGATAAACAAACATTAATGGACAGCGCTATACATTCTATATGTTTTTACTCATTTTGTCTCTTTCTAACAACGTCATTTCTCCCACATCGCCAATAACTTGTACATCACATCATGTGGCAGATTATGAAAATTAGGCAATGACGTCATTCAGCGGCTTCTAGCGACTCATAGCAAAGCCAATAGCAACTTTCTTTACTGACGAGTTGGCAACACTGGTAACGAGGGGTGATCAGCCTGTCACGACCACCTCCCGATCAGGAATTTTGAGGTCGGGTGAAAATGAGATTTTCAGTCGACCGTCGTGGGCAAATCGCTCAGTGCGAAAACAAGGATTCTTGTTCTTCTTCTTCCTCTCAGATATAAACATAGAAGCATGACGGGGGTGCGAGTGAAATGGAGTTCTTTCTGTAAAATTGACAGACCGTAGTAGGCATGGCGTTGTCGCCTTTTCTTCTAGGGCTTTCAGCTGAAAATTGCAAAAATTACCAAGGCAGCGCGTTTCACTCTAGTGAGCTTCATATTCCTGTTCTACTGGTTTGGCTTCCGGATAGATGAGTCCCCCAGGTTTTTAAGACGTACAGTGTGAGCAGGTAGATCGCATCAAAGCGTCGTGCTGAACATGCATCGTTAGCTGTGAACTCACACTGTACGACGAAACCCTGTGGTAGCTGCTTGTAACGATTGAAAAAAATCGCACAATATTTAGTTTGGAGCTAAATATTTTTTCAACAAACTACATACTTATTTTGCAAATTAAATATTTAGCTCCAAACTAAATATTTATTTAACAAAGTAAGATTTTTAAAAATGAATAAATGACATAGTGAAAAAATGAATTGGAAAAAAATTAACCCTTTATTTTTCTCTTAAAACACGCTAAATAACCATAAATATTGTTCCTAATTCTTGACGGTTTAACTTTACAAACGGCACCCCATATATGTGTTTTTACTATTTTGGGTCAAAAAAAGTGTAACATGTAGCTGTTCATTCAAACTGATGACTGTCACTGTAAACTAGATAAAAGTATAGATTTGTGTAACCCATTCTTTTTGGATTTTGAAACGACAAGTTTGATTCAACTTGAAATAAATACATGTACAAAGGACTTAAAACAAAGTTTTTGATTGCGATTTGCACGCAATCAAAGCAAGTCCAAGTCCCAGACCATGAGAGAGCGCCATTTTCGTTGTCTCTACATCCTGGGTGGATTTCATCCATAATTATCGCAAGTAGCAAAGCAGTTGCATATAATCAATGTAATAGCTGGCTAGTTAACTAGTTGATATTAGCTAGCTGATGTCTGAGAAGTTTTACGCATTTACTGATAACGTTATGACAATGAATCTCTAAAGTTGGCTAGCCAAAAAGCCCTCGCTCGTTCAACCGGGCTACATCCAGAGCTAAACAAACATTGCTTGAAGGTACAGTGTGGAGTTTTGTTCGGGTTAAATCCTGGATACCCGGCCGCCACTGGCAGCCGGAGCCTCCAGTGTTACGTTATAAAGAGCGGGAGGGCTGTTGTGGTGAGCTTGTTAGCGACAGATGCTAACTGCTACTGCTTACCGAGGTTAGTTAGCATCAATTTACACCAGCTGGATTTACACCATTTACAGTAAGGCTATATTAACACTTAATAAATACATTTAAAGTAATCTGTTGGCCAGGTGTTTTTTTCTGTTTTTTAATAGAGTTTGTAAGATGGGAAATGGAAATTATTTTTGAGTCAATTGAAATGTAAAAAATTAAGTACATTAGGTTCAATTTCAATATATTAGTTTAGTTCATCAACTGAAATGTTCAGAAACAGGGTACCTGAACAGGGAAAAGATTTAAAGTTGGGTCAAGTACAGTATTATTTTTCACATCAATAAGTGATTAACAAGGGATTAAATTCAGATTCTGTGAAGTCAAATATTTAAGATGTGATATCAGAACATAATCTTTTTAATTTGAGAATGGTTATACTTTTTCCAGAGTAAATTAATTACATTCTGTAGGTTAATGATCTTGTCTAGAAATCTGATTGAAACCATAAAGTGGTTTAAATCACTTTATGTGATTAAGGTTTAGAAACCCCGGTTCAGTCAGTACGACTGGAATGACAGGTCATGTGTTAATGTAAATCTTTTGCTGTGCCCGTCTGAAATTCCAATGGGAGCAAGTTTGTAACACAGTATGAGGCCATCACTAAAGTCGGTGGATTCAGTGATACACAGTGTTCCTGACCTCCATGGATTCCTGGAATGAGACATTTAACAGCTACGCTTTAAGATGGACGAGGGAGACAAGTACGTCTGTCTCAGAGAGGGAGTCAGGCCAGATGAGGAGCACAGAGGCATGTTTGACTTTCTAAACATATAGATGTCAGACTAAAATACAGTATGATCTATGGTGATAGTTTGTGACACTTACCGGCTTTGGTTTGGCAGTTCGGTCCAGCTGGTTTGGGTCAAACACCTCTTTCTCCTCCCAGGATCCTCTGGTGTCTCCGTTGGATGAAGGGGAAACTTTGAGCTCTTTAACCTGTCCACTCATCACCTGTATGGGGTCCAGACTCATCTTCACCATAGAGAGTCCCTCTGCCTGTGCTTCCAGAGTTGCAACTCAAACTCTATTTTGGAAAAGGACACTGTGTTCCTCTCAGATGAAAAAAAGAAGACAAACAGGAAGAAGGTGCAACTAAATAAACAAACTGTCCCTCTTCTGTCTTTCACATTTGTTAGGATCAAGAGTGCTTGTATATATGATACGGCTTGCACCTGCCCTCAAATCACACAGAAAGTACGGAAAGCAGAAGAGTTCACTCTTCTACCTTGTGCTCTGTACCCAGTATGCAGTTTTTTTCCCCCCCAAAGAGGATTACTGCTCTCAGCATCCAATCCAGAGGACATAAAAGACTCCCTCTGCTTCACAGTTATTGTCTCTCCCTCTGTCCCTCCTGTATCACTGTTTGACTGCATGCACGTCTGCAGTCGCACATTCTGCCTGTCCTCGGTTAAAGTGTTTCAGGCTGTGCAACGGTCCATCTGCTGCCACCTCTCTGCCTCTCTTTTCGCCCCCTCTCAGTGTCCCCCCCCCCCAACCCATTCACTTCAACCCCTTCCCATCTTGTATCTCTCTGTCCCATTCAATCACTCTCTCTCTGCTCCCTAGTTTGATTTGCTCCCCCTGCCACTGACCAATTGGAGTCCTGCTTCCTTATTCAGTCTGACCCCGCCTCCACTGTCCTGGTGTTGATGGTGCAGTTTAGCAAAGAGACTCATGGGAAGTTCATGCGCAATATAAAAATAGCCATGAGGATGATCGAGAGGAATATAAATTGTTTACTTTCACTATTTGAACACCTTGTGGGTTTTATTTTTCAGTGTATATCCAACTCTCTCTTTATTTCAGACTGTATGGCTTTAGGGAGGTTTTTACCTTAATCATATAAATATGCATGAATGTGAGCAGTTTCTGTCAATTTTACATAAGCTGATCATGTGGGGTTACTAACTTTGTCATTAAAAGTGGAATGTTTAAATCTATTGACTATATTTAACTTATCTACAGTAATAAACAGTATAATTTTATCATTAATAGGTTCACATAAACTTAATGGTCTGTGTATTAGAAGCAGCTTTTCAATTGCAAGTTACAATTATTCAGATGTGACCGCTCAGGTTCCCATGAAGTGGAAGCCACACTGCTTCTCTCAGACACCATATTCCACTGGGAGCATCTTCATAGCGGACTGACTCTGCGTAATTGGACTAACATCGCATCAGGATTGTTTCATAACACTACAGTATTGTAGGTTTTAAATAGAGCAAAAAAAAACAAAAAAACAGTAGGGTTTGTCAGTGGGCTTGTTCATAGTTTGCATTAACGAGATTTTTAGGCTCAGCCAACAAATCCCCTGTGTCTGTTTTTCAATTCAACAGTTTATTTTTATAGCGCCAATTCACAACACATGTCATCTCAACGCACTTTCAGTTCACCACATCAGACAGTCAAATTGATTCCAAGTTTTCTATTTAAGAAAAAACAATTATTCCATTGACTCATAGACTTGAAGGCAATTCCTCACACTAAGCATGCTTGTAGCGACAGTGGAGAAGAAACACTCCCTTTTAACAGGAAAGGCAGAATCAGGCTAAGTGTGATTGGCCATCTGCCGAGGCCAACTGGGGTTCAAGGAGACAGAAGAACTGTAAAAGATGAGCTCTGAGCCAGCTCCCATGTCAGAGAATGATTAGAGCACACCCAGCCAGTCACAGTCAGAGAAACAGGACTACATTGAAAAACAGGCCGATCTCCAACATCTATATGGAGTTGTTGCCGATCTTTTGGGCGACAAGTATTTCTTTCGTAGATGATAAGACCTACAGGTCTTCTTCTTCTCATAGCATCTAATGTGGCGTTTTGCATTGAGGATGAGGAAAACCTACTCAAAGGTACAGTTCTTGACCGGAATAGGAGAGCTTTCTTTGTCCAGGTCAGACAGGAGTTCCTTACCTGTTTCCAATGACTCTGTCAGTCTCGTCCTTGTCCGACCTTTAAGTCAGTCTGACTGGTAAGGTTTGCAAGTTACAACAACCAGGGTTCTTCTGGGGTTTTGAAACTCAAGATGTACCAGATAAATTGGGGATAAGTTTTCCATTGCCATCAACAGGCTAATGGCAATTGTGGGGTTACCCCTAAAAATTGCGAGACCCTTTTAAATGGGCCAATCTTAATGTCAGAAAGCCTGGTTCTTTGCTAAACCAATTTTGATTTGTGTTTGGGATCATTATCCTGTTGGGACCATCCTAGTTTTAACCTTCTGACTCAAAATGGAAGGTAAATGGTTTTGATTTTGGATCACTACTGTAGGTTGAGAGGGATTTATGCACTTGAGATCACTGTTTGGTGGTATTGGTCTTTTACTATTTTAGAAATATTTCCAATTAATTTTTAACAATATTGCTTGTATATTTGTAAAATGCATTGATTAAAAACCAAGCAAAAGCATGGCCAATAATCTATTTTGTATTTAGTCTGTTACCCCTCTCTGCCCCCCTTTAAATTGTCCTATAAGAAAGAAAGCTGTGGTTGTCTTGGGCCGACCAGGAAGGAGTATTGAAAGTAGATAGTGTTTTTCAGCTCTACTGCTTCATATTTAGGTATTTAGAAAAACGTGAACCGCCCAGGCTGCTCAGTTGTGCAGTGGGTAGCAGTGCTGCCCTACAGCAAGAGGGCTCCAGGTTCAATTCCCAGCCTGCGGTATTACTGCATGGAGTTTGCATGTTCTCCCTGAGCATGTTTGGGTTCTCTCCAGTAACCCTGGCTTCCTTCCACAGTCCAAAAACATGACAGTTAGGTTAATTGGCATCTCTACATTTTCCTTAGCTGTCTGTGTAAATGGTGTTTGTCTCTGTGTTGCACTGCGATGGACTGGCGACCTGTCCAGGGTGTAGCAAGCCTCTCGCTCGTAGACAGCTGGACATTGGCACCACAGCGACCCCAGCCAGGATAAAGCATGACGACAATAGATGGATGGATGAGTCGTTCCGATAAGTTTGAGAATCACATTTGATCATGTTTCACATTTTATTGTGTTCTGCAGTCTGGGACTCTGGTTTGGTCTTTCCTTAGTCCCGGTGTACTCTGGTCTTGGGCTAAACATGGTTTGGTTTTGTTGTCCCTACAACAAAATGGACACCTGTAGATTTGACTGGAATTTGCACCTGCCCGCATAAACTTTTTGAATGTTTGCTGGGGAAAAAAATCTACTAGGTAAACAAAGATTGTGGTGTTTGACAGCTGTAATATAACACGGATATCTGGATGAGTCAATGTTCTGCTCCTCTAATGGTGAAACCCCCCTGCCATAAAGGTGTTGGAATAATGGTGAACAAGAGCTACGTCCAAATTCTGCCACCCCCATTAAAATCAACACCTGGTTTAAACTTGAACACAGATGGATTTTTGCACAAGAATTTAAAAAAGATGGAAAAGGTCTGTGTCTGCTGAGTGGCGAGAATGTTCTGGTTTCAATTCCCAGCCTGGGTCTTTCTGCATTGAGGTTTGCATGTTCTCACTGAGCATCTGTCACTCTCTGGGTACTCCAGCTTCCTCCCACAGTCCAAAAACATAGCATGTTAAGTCTTGTCTAAATTCCCCTTAGGTGTGAGTGGTTGTTTGTCTCTGTGTTGCCCTGCGATAGACTGGTAACCTGTCCAGGGTGTAACCCTCCTCTCGCCCGTAGACAGCTGGGGATAGGCACCAGCACCTGTCATAACCGTGCTTGGAAAAGTGTGATGGAAAATGGATGGACAAGGTTTCTGGAATCTTTCAAACTTCCACTTTGCAAAAATCCATGGTCCATCCTCAAAAAATTATAATTTTCCACTGTGGAAAGAGGTAAAACGAGCCAAAAGACATTTGGTGACTTTAAGAGTGGTGTGGATTATCTGTATCATTCACCCTGTGTGGTTTTGGGTTAAAAAAAATCCACAGACTCAAACTTAAGCCATTGACTGTTCATTAGGTGTTGTAATGCTTCTCAATGTCTATCAAAAATCAAAAATAAAATAAATAACTTAAAGGCCACAATGACTGTGGCAATTATAAATGTTTATCCGAACCAATAAAAATAACCTTAAAGGCAAAACTTGGTTAAAACTGAGAAAAACGTGAATGCAGGGTGACTTTTGCTGAGAACAAGAGAGAGTAAGGGAGGGGATAAATCAGCAATTGGGAATAAATTAGCCTAAAGGTAGCTGATAATGGATGTACTCTTCATCAAAAAAGGTTGTACTAAAAGCCATTAGTGTCTTTACCCATGCATGCTGAATACTGCGACAGATGTGTGGGTTTGTCTCAGTGGTTTGCACTCATGTTTAATACAAAATTGACTTGGCATTTTCTCAGTAATTTGGTGAGGCTTTTTTAAATTGGTGACTTCAATCTCTTATCTGTTTTATATAAAGGGTAAGATCAGTTGTAGCTTGTTCCAGTCTTAATATGCAAAGAAATTATGTGGGACCTTTGACAATTGTAATTTTGTCCTTTAGAATTAAAAGTCCCACTGGACTGTGAATGGTGCCCTTTAATATAAAATAACTATTCATGCTATCGTGAAGGTAACTAATACATCGTGGCACCATGTTTTTAAAGGGATCCAGGATTATTTGTGGCAATAGATTTTTTTTGGAAATATACATTTTTGATGTAAAATACTGTAAACTTTTTAGTTTTTATAAATGCACAAAAACATTGTCACACGGACATAACCATGTTGATTATGCTGCAAAGAATTTAGAGTAAATGACATATGCTAGGGTATGCTAGCATTGCTCCCTCCTGGGAAAAATAACAATAACTCATGTCAAACCTTTTCAATTTGAACCTGAACATGTTGAAATTGCTGAAAAGGAAGAACTAAGAAGAGGTAGTGAAGATGAGGATGAACCATATAAAAGAAGACGACCGGGTTGACTGAATAAGCTAGCGTATGTGCGGCTGTTGATAGGAGATGCTAATCGGAATGGAGGGCTATGCTACTAATGCCATTTCTCAATTCACAAAAACGCGAATACGGAGTCGTCTTCTTGCCAAGTATGTTCTTAAGAAGAAGACAGGAAAGTGTGGACTCTGAGAAAACGGGAGCACACAACATAAATATTGGTCAATTAGAACAGAAGTGTACTGATGATGTCACCACACGCCGCTCGTCTGGAGCTGCATTTCACCTCCTGTTATTAATAGTCTCTAGATAATAATACATTCTTACTTTTTTCATGTATTGGGGGGATAATAATTGACACATTCAGATAAACACAAATCAAATAAAAATTTTGCCAAATAAAACAAAAAACTTGCCACCAGAGCCAGTGGTCCTTCACACACATCTATATATCAAAAATATGTAAAATTCCTAAAATTTGCATTTATATTGACCTAATAAGAAAGAATTTTAATTAAACCTAATTGAATAGAAATTTCACTTCATGCAGCTCTCTTAATATATTTGAATCCCTTGACCTGTTTTTTATT